TCAAGGAGTCTGGCTGGATTTAAAATACGAGGAGGGCCTGCATTTGAGCGTGGCCTTGGAAGGGGCCAAATGAGAGTACCATTCCCCATCGGTGTGCATGCTCCACTGATGGCGGCGTTTATCAAAATCCCTTTCTCGTACTACCAACCTCAACATCCCCTTCCGTTGTCGAATCAGTCCGTACCCTTTACTGGCACGTCCAGTGCTATTTCGTTGTCCGAGGCCGGCTCTGTCACCGCCACTGACACATGGCTAGGCATATCCATACGCCTGTCAGGCCCTACGCTGGAGCTATGTCATGACTTGGAAGCGGTCAAGCAGCGGGGCGTTCTTGCCTACCGAGAAGTGCGTGACCGCATGGTGAATCAGAAAGTGGACAGGTGGGACAGTTCGATACACTGTCTTAACCTACTCTGCAAGACACAGGAGGAAGCTCAAAGCCTTAAGCGGTACCTCCAAGCAAGATTCCCTGACGCCCTTCTCAGAGATATCAATATGCAGGATTATACCCCAAGCGGGTACATTGGCATCTATGAGCTTGGATATACTGGTGAAGTCTTTTCTCATGGATTTGACAAAACTACAATCAAAACCCTACTGGATCACGCACCAGCCCCGCTCATCCCTCAGGGCCCCGACACATTACCATCCGAAGCAACAGAGCTATGGACACGCATGTATTCACAGGATCTCTTCAAATACAATCACTTCCGGATTATGACGACAACAACCAGCCAAGGGCATACGCCGTTCAATATGGTGGAGGTGACCTTCAAATGTGAAGTGTTAAAAAAAATATGCCTGCGTAGGCCATTTGAGTTAAGCGAAGAAGAGTACTTTGGCCTCCTTCATTTTTGTCTCATTCTCTGTCGCCTTCACCGCTTCAAACACGCATTCCGCCAGCAGATCTACCCTGCCAAAGACTCTATTTACCCTTGTGTTGTCCGTTTCATTGCCGATTCTGGGAGGCAGCTTTTCGAAGGCATCGAATTCCGATCAACCTAGATGTTGAAGAGATCAGGAAACCCGCCTCAAGAAGAGTTTGAGTCCATTCGCTGGCAGCCAAAAACTGGTCTTTTTGCGCTCAAAGTTGCAGAGAGCCCTCCTGCTCCCCCAAACAAGCCGACTCCAGAAGAGTTAAGCAGCAAGTAGTAGTCGGAGAGCATCACGCAGTAGCTGTCCATGACCGTTTTCCGTTCACTTTGTATATACTCTAGAATAATTTGTAGCATATAACTTCCCAATGTATTTTACGTTTGCTGAGCTTATGCCTTGCACTTGTGCCCAGCCCATAGGTTTAATAATGATGCGTGCAATATTTTCATTGTAAGATACCTACATATCTTTCCAATGATCGGTTGTGATGTTTGGGTTACTCAACTGGGCAACATCTGTATCCACATAGCTATCACATCCTCGTCGTCGTTCACTTCCAACTCGTCAAGCAGTTGGACCACCCTCCTGGCAACCTTTCCTACATCAGCCCCCTGTCACAAAGCTCGTTTCCAACGGCGCTAATCATTCTCCAGTGTTGAGCGACATCTAAGACTTCAGGAGGTGGCTCCTTCTCGGTAACGTGCAGGGCAATGATGTCGATGTTGACTAGGAGTTCAACGTTTTCTTCCATTAGTGCCTTCAAACGAACCGCCGGCAACATTTTCGATGCAGCCCGCCACACTGAGTTTCGTGCACACCTGAACAAGGTGTCAAAGGTGGGAGGCTCACCGCTTAGGTTTGATACGGATGACGGTGCCTCCGACGGTGCCCGGGACGTTGGACCTTCGTTCACAGTGAGGTGCGTACTTCCATTAATCTTTAACACTGGTTGAACTTTGAGGGGAGTACTATGCGGTGTTGGATGGATGAGCCTAATTGGAGGGATGACCATTGGCGTATGTGATTCCGGAATGGCTTGCTCCATGAAGACGTCGTATTCTGGGTCATCAGGGAGTTGCGGCCCATGTCCTTGCTGGAAGCCTGAGCGTACACCCGATGGGAACGTTGTCAGGTTTATTGCCTCTAACTTTACTGATGATGATGAAGACCCGCCTGGTTCAGGTGAGTTGCGAGGTGGTGTCTTGGGTACGATGCCATCGTCCTGTGGACCTTTCACCTCATTCTCTGGTACCGCGGCTTCTTTCATTTGGTTGTGGCCCCCAGGTGTCACACAGGGAGGTTTTGCCTTCATGAGGGTGCGTGCGTGAGTGGCTTTGGACTTCTTGCGTCGCTTGGAAGACGGGGATGATATTTGATTATCACCAACCGAATCTCCTTCCATCTCCACAGTTAGGGAGTTTGGCGTGCTTTCCTTACGTTTTTGGGTTCGTGCAGGGACGACCGCTGTCCTCGCAATTGCCCTCCTTGTCTCGTGTTCAGGCAATAGGTATTTCGTAATATTCCCTTTCGCATCTGGTGCATAGTGTAGCACCTCACGCATCAGGTACTCGTCTGGTAAGCCCAAACCGGTGAGCTGTGTTTTTTTGAAGTTTCATTGACATTTTCCTCACCATCTGTCATTTGTTCCACCCTCAACGTCTGCTCCGGATCCTGGTGAGTGAGCTGCATTATACACCGTGCAGACTCGCGTGGGGTCCAATCGCACGGTAGTAACTTGTTCAAGCGTGGGACACCACGATGCCAACCAACAAAATGGAGACAATGCTCAAGCATGAATGAAAGTATGTTGGCAACTCTCCAGTTGTGCCCAAGCTCAGTTATCCCTGTTGCCTCCACTACAAGTAGATGTCAGATGAGCAATCAGACGGCACGGCAAAAGGACATACAAATGATTGCTTTAAGCCGCCCAGCACACTCAGTGCAGCGTTGGGGATGCGAGCCGTAGGTTTCGTCTGCAAAGGTGAGGCCTTCCTTCCTTTTTAATGCGGGTGTGTGGTAATCCACGTCATTCGCATCGCCCTCAACCTCTGATTTGATGGCCATGTTTCCCGTTCCATTTCCCAAATACCTGTCCAGATCATCGCTGAAATGGACACTTTGCTTCATGTGCATCACAATGGTCTTCATGAGGCTTGAGGCACCAAACACCTCGCTGGTAGATTTATCGGGGTTCGTAAATGCCCCAAGATGTTGAAGAAAGGTTCTGCGCCTATTTCAGCCAATGTGGGCTAGGAGACAAATTGCTCATACCTCTGTTTAATGGCGTCGGGTTGATATGGGCTGGAAGGATATGAGTAAGTTATTTGTGCCTCTCCTGCATAAACCTTGTACCTGAATGCCTTTATCCCATCGTAGAAGTTCCTCATGGCTAAGGCACTATCCTCTGTGAGGGGTAGGCCCATAGCTTTGACCATTTCCGCAATCATTGGTGAGCTCGTAAATGCGATAGTCGAATCCCGAGGGGCAAGCTTGTCATCTGCTATGAACCCCACTAACGCCACCCCAACAGGATGAATGGAGCTGAGTGCAGCAAGCTATCAGCAAATTTTTCAGTACAATCGATTGCAATAGTTACTGGATTCTGTACTATACCTGAGCAGCATATTTTCCCGTTATTTTCTGCAACAGATAAAGGCCTTCATTTGGTTGAGCCTCCCTCTCGTCCTTCGATAAAACAAGGTCCCCGCAATGTATCAGAATTTTATCATAGAACGCTTTTGCTTCTTCTGCCTGGTCAGGGTACTTCCTATCGATATCCTGTTGCTGTAATTTACGCAGGCATGCTGCTTCTTGACTGTCAATTCCAGCTAGGAAATGATTAGTTCCTAATATCTTGCGAGTATGTGGTTAACTTACAGTGAAGCTTAAGCCATGTTTGCCAAGCCGTTTGGCCCGCTTCAGTGGGATTGTGTAAACGGAACCTCTTCATGACTTCTTGGGGGGACTTCCCCTTTTTCTGTGCATAACCGGCAATGCAAGCTTCTAAAAAAACTGCAGGGGGTCTTTGAGTATTTCTAAACAGTGTAAGCAACAGAGACACCAATGCACCTTCGAGGCTCAAATCATCCGTAACGAGTCCCTTCTCCAGTATATTGCCAATATCTCCGACTGTCTCAATAGATGAATGACCCCATATTTTCTGCACAATTCCCTTCACAATTTGATCGGGGGGGACAAGTGGTTGGAATTGTGGCCTGTCTTCGATGGAAGTATGTTGTGCAACAAGCTCTTTCAACTCTGCGAACGGGCCATCTGTAGCTCTGAGGAAGTTGTTGGCAGTGGAAGCCGTAGTCAACAAGGTCATGCCACTGGAGAAAGTGGCCTGAAGGGTCAGAATTGATGAGTCAAATGCATTTGAAGATGCGTTCTGTGGGAGGGAAGGCATTCTGGGGTGATTTCTTGTTCTACCAGTGATTTTTGGTTTGGGGGGAACAGAAAATTTTCCTCAAATTTGCATCCGAACTATCAATTTTGATCTAGCAACAAGCCTGAAGAGAGGAATTTGTATCTACACCGTTTCACCAGCCTTTACCCCGTTCGACCCATCCTCCACATTGCAACCTTGTATCAGGTAGCAGACACAGAATTCAAACGGAAAATTGGACATTCTGACCCTTTCCTCAATGCTGCACATCTACATCCACCTGCAACCAACTACAGGCCGATTTCCCCTTTAGCACCCCATTTGACTTGTTCACCGGTCCAACACAGTGTGCAAGAGCTCTAAGTGGCGCTCCGGAACATCGAGCAGGCCGCGATCGGAGCCGCTATTTGTATTGTAAGTACGGTCAGGGTTTCAATGTAAATAATCGGCATGTGAACGAAATGTCCCTGGATCTGAATCGTGTGTGTCGGCAGAGACAGTGGGGCCCAGGCCGCATCCCTCAATAACCCAAACGGTGTAATCTGCGCAAGGTCTACGGAGGTCAGGTGTAGTGGGTGGTGGCAGTGCCACCCCCGTTTGACCACATTCATACCCCATCACTCCTATATCATGCGACCATATGCATTCCCCCCAAACGGGACATAGCCACCTGACAGCAATAAGAAGATGAAGATGAGTCGCTCTCAGGCGTGAGCTTACGACACTAACTTTACACACCAATTCCCGCTACTCTGTAGCGGGTCTTGTAAATTTTTCGACCCTGATTGAATGCGTTTGATGACAAGGTCCTCTATTATTGCCAATTCTAGATAACCCAGGGTCCTCCCAACTCACTAACCAATTTCTCTTATACCGCACCACTCTCGTGCCGTTTACTCAGCCTTCCCCCCTGCTCTTTGTACTATCGTCCCACTGTGCTGCTTCTCTCATGCTTTTCGGACCGCCGCTACCCTCCAGTTCCTCCACCGTTTGTACTGTGTCGCATATTCGTGATCGCCTACTTGCGCATATTCTGTTTGGCGACTGTTACCAAATTCCCGTCGGGCCTGCCCCTTTCCCCGGAGGACAGAAGAGTGGCGGGACCTGCCGCGTCAGGCGGTGTCCACCAGTTATTTGTTTCGAAGGTCTTTTAAGGATCATTGAAGGCAAGAGCTTTTCTACTTTCGCTTTTCCTTCAGGTGTCCTTAGAAAATCTACGTCGTAGCCAAGCTCAACCATAGGTCTCGCAATCGCCATTTCCTCTCATCCGTAAGTTGTCCATCGACCGGAGGAGGTTTGGCAAGATATTCAATGAACTCCGGGTCACCGCGAGGAATTTTTGTCGTTGTAGCTGCGAGAAGAGCATGGTGTATCCGGAAAGGAACTGCACTTGGTGTGGTAGAAGCGAGGATGAGGATTTGTTGGAGAATAACACCCCCCATCGACCCCCCACATGCATCTATGCCTCTGAATCCGAGATGATCGATGAGGGCGATTGCATCTTCTGCCATCGATAACGTGGTAATTTCTTCCCGCTTGCTCGTTTTCACTATAGAAGCTCCGAAATCTCTACATGAGGCCAGTCTGCATTCGTGGGCTACCAAGTTGTTCATATCATCCATACCGATGATCGAATACCAATACTAATGCAGCATATGAGAGCGAGCCAGACGCCGTTAGAAAAGATTAACAGCCCACCAGGTCTCAATTTACTGAGGGGTATGCTGAGAGTTTCCCAATCTTCATATCGCCCCGACATGCCATTAATGAGGACAATGGGACGGACACCTCTCTTCAGGTGATCGGCTCCTAGTATTTCGTACCCCAACTGCGCTCCATTCGCAAGAGGAAAAACCTGGGGTGTCATGATGTTGGTGGAATAACCGGACCCCAGCAAGGCTATTCCCGGATATTCCCCTGCCTCACCGAATCATGTGGCCGACAGCTGCTGTCAGCAGAGCTGTCAGTGTCAAAGCTCCGAAAGCAAACACCCTACATCAAAACCACATAGCAGGATGACTGGTAAGTGCGAACATGATACAAATGCTCGTGTCGGTATATACTCTACTGGTATGGCCTGCTCTTAAATTGGACCGTCTAGCGTGTAGAAACCGTGAATTGCGAATCGTGCGCCCAAGATAAGGCCCCGAACAATATGGATACCCTGAGGATTTACTCCTTCGCCTCCCTATCCATAATCTCTTTCGTCGTTTCTATTCTAGGTGGATGCTGTCTTTCCCTATCTTCAGACAGGAGCAGTGATTCCGGCCCAGTATCACTACCCTCAGGGCCAACCTCCTCCTCTCCAACCATCCTCCCAATATTATTAAGACGGAGATAATCCTTCATGGAAACTCTTCGCACCAGGTATTGGAAAAGCACAGTGGTACACATGGAGAGTAATATCCAACCAATGAGTACAGCAGCGTTGAGGCCCAAGTGGTTCTTGGTGTTGAAGATGAGAGTACGGGTCGCTTGTGCAATTTATTTCGGTAACTCACTTCATACCACCCTCTACTTCTTCGTTTCAGTATTGTCGCTACTCTGGCCCACAGCGCACCATCATGCAAGTAAACGCATGTCGTAGCTTGGATACCGCTCTGCATGCCCTTCCTCCTGTCTGGGCCACCCTCCTGTTTGAAGTAGTTGCGTATCTGCAACGCGATGACCTTCAATCTGACTCTAACCTAACATCTATATCATACTTCCTCTTCCCAGGTGAAATCCGCCAAACAAGACGAGGGACCGCTCTCCATGTGCTTTCTTCTTCCAACGTTCAGCAGCAATGGTGCATGCATCCTTCTCATTCTCCTAAGTCATCTTGAATCATGAACTGAAGCGTGCTGCATGGGCAGAGACGGCGTTGATTGTGATGGAATTTGAACCAAAGTGGCGGCATTCTCTAGACAGGCGTCTTTTCAAATATTTCAATGACCAAATAATAGGAGCCCAATGCTTTCGTCTTTATCCCCCGATTGCGCCCACGTGAATGGCCCAATATCCACGAGCGTGCAAGGAAGAGGTCTGGGCGACACAAGGAAATAATGATGTCAACTCAATAGGTCAAAGGAGCAATTACATTCATATGCCAAGAATCCAATCCGGGGCTTGATAATAGGATGCCAGTAAACTCTCGCCTCCGATTGCATAAGTTAAAATCAAAGACACCAGTTAAGTTAGAAACCAGTATTGGCAGTTACAATCCTTGTATATGCCCCGCAAAATTAAAACCAACATGGTCATACCACGCAAGTGCTAAATGGAGGCCGGGGGTACAAGTCCATCTAAATTGATGAATGCGATCATCCCTCCCTCTCCACCAATGCTGACATGGTTACCGTGTTCCGCGATTGGACAGCTAGGCTTGAAGTAGTCGGGTAGCCAACAGATGTGCAGGGCAAGGTTTTCGCGCTTGATGCAAAGAGCGTTGTGGTCAAGAAAGAGATGGGTGGGTGAAGATTTGTGGAAGGATGTTGAAATTGGGTTGGATAGGTCGCTTAACTTTGGAAAGCTGAAATGTTTTGTCTCTTTCTGACCTCGGACGCGGAGTGTTAAGGCGTCGGTGGAAAATAGCATTTGGTGGGGACGAAAGATTTCATTGAGCTGTGTTTGCTCAATGCAACTCTTGTCGGCAATGTCCCAGGCACACACTCTGCCGTCCTTGGAGGCCGAAACAAGATGGCGTCCATCAGGCGAAAATTCCACACAGGATATGGTGTCAACATGACCTTTCGTTGCCTTTGGCCCTCGAGTGGGTGATTCCATCGTTGCATCCCAGACACGTACAGTGTCATCAAAAGATGCCGAGGCCAGATAACAACCATCTGGCGAAAAATTCACGGACCAAACCTGATCAGTATGCCCTTTCAGCTCTCGAAGAGGCGCTCCTGTTGCCACATCCCAGATGCGCACTGTGCTGTCGTGTGAGGCCGAGGCCAGATGATGGCCATCCGGCGAGAAATCCAAGGATTTGACATCACTGGTATGTCCCTTCAGCTCTTGAAGCGGGACTCCCGTTGCCACATTCCAAACATGTATGGTATTATCCGATAAGGCTGAGGCCAGATAACATCCATCTGGCGAAAACTTCACAAAATAGACGCTGGAGGCATGTTCCTCCAGTGTTCGAAAAAGCGCTCCTGTCGATGCATCCCAGATACGCACGTTGGTATCATCTGAGGCTAGATAACGCCCATCTGGTGAAAAGGAAATGGACCAGACAGATATATCATGATTCTCCAATTCCTGGAGGGGCTCCCCTGTTGCTGTATCCCAAACTCGCACAGTGCGATCGTCCGAAGCCGAGGCCAGACGAAGGCCATCAGGGGAAAATGTCACAAATCTCACCATGCCAGTATGCCCCTTCAGTTCTCGAAGGCATGCTCCCGTTACCGCATCCCAGAACCGCACAGTGCGATCATCCGATGCCGAGGCCAGATGAATGCCATCTGGTGAATATGCAACGGAATTGGCCTCACGAGTATGTCCCTTCATTTCCCGAAGAAGCGCTCTCGTCGCCGCATCCCAGATCCGCACAACACCATCCATACAGGCTGAGACTAGATGACAGTCATCTGGAGAAAATACCACAGAGCCGGGTCTACTTGGGCTGCGGATTATCCCCGCTTGCGGTGACCATGGTCGGCTGCTTTCCATATGATGAGAAACAATACGACATTCAACAGCCCACTTCTTTGGAAATGTTGCATCCAACGCGCTACCTGATGGAATAAATGGATGGCTACTTCCAAGTATAGATAAGGACGAGGCCGCTAATGCACTCCGGGATCGCTCGACTAGACAGAGCAGGTCGCGAATTACGTGACTTATACTATTGACTGCTTGAATGCCGACCTTCAAAACGCCAAAGTGAGCCACACGCCAGTATCCAAGTAATTTTTGACGCACTAGCCATCGCTGTAGTTCTTTCATGCTTTGGCACGCTTGGTCAATTTCACCCATGATTCCCATTGCGGCAATCCAGTGGAGAAGCGCCGGGACAGCGTTGGAAAGGGCCTTCATTGTTTCACCATCATGGGGCTCGTCCAACGTACAAAGGAGAGTGACCCAATGACGACACACAAACTTCAGCTGCGTCGTCATCAGCCTCTCAAACTCAGGTTGGAGATCAGGAATTTCTGCATCAAGTTGGAAACGCCATAGCGTTGGCAACTGATCCAGCACTGCACATTGCCCAAGCAGCTTCAATGCGAAAAGCACCGTGTCTTTCCCCGGAGAGAGCTCAAAAAATGGATCCAGGTCACTTTTGAGCGAATCATAGGAAGGGCGATGCAGTGTAAGAGCATCTTGCAGCTAGTGGATGGATTAGACAGTTCACAACTCCGACTCCAGCGTGATCCACATACAGATGATTCCAAGAGGTGTATGATACTCGATATTGGAGTGGCGAGATTATCTTGAAGTTGTTCCCATGGTGGGAGGATCTGAACTAATTTACTAGAAAACAGGAAGTTAGTGGGAGTTGCGTAAAATAGGCCGTTCAGTGGAATAACCAATTAATTTACTAACTCGGTGAAATCGTTTCGGATGATCCGTGCACCTTGGGTTCCATAGAGTCCATGTAGGTATTCGTGTAATGTCCGTTGCAATGCGGCAAGGAGAGCTTGAGTGGATGTGGAGATTTGGGATGCGTTGGGTGGGGAACTGTGATAAGCAGACTGATAGCTCAAACTAGATCAGTGACGGTGAATGACGGCATGCAGGCTATTCTCTCACATGATGCTGTTTTACAGTATCGAGGACAGACTTGACAGCCTTTCTTAGCCTTGAATCTACCATTAAATCAGCGAATTTTATGATTGTCTCTGGATTGGCATTAATGTCTTTGGCAATGTGCGAATATGTCAGAACTGTGATGCGGTCTCGTCTCTCAGCACCGATTGTGGGATGGTTAAGAGACCCTCTCTCATACTTTGCTCCGAACCTCCGCAGCAACATTTCCTGAATGACGGAAGCGAAAAACCAACAATTTTCCTACACGTAGTTAGTGATTCACTGATGAGGACACCTACTCGGCCATTGACCGCTTACTTTGGTTAGCTTGTAACCAGGAGATTCTGCAGCGATCGCGTACAGAACTTGCACAGCCGCGAACAGAGGAACGGGAGTGGGGAAGATCATGATGGCCTCTATCCCTGACTTCTTGTTGGTGAAATCAAGAAGGTGGTCGAGTCTGCCAGAAACGGCAGCCTATCGAGTCTTAGCTGCGGTAAAGACATCAAAGGGTTCGTTACATACCGTATCTATCGCGTGTGACGTTCCCAAATCTCGTACTCCAAACAACCACAACGGGACTTTGTGGTCCCGTCTGCGATCCAACCGAAGATAGAACTCCCCTCCGTCGGCTCGAGTGACATGCAGGATGAGGAATCGATGCGGCACCCCTTGAAGATCGCCATATCGTTGGACAGACACGATCCTGGCATTTGCAGCACGACGACTGTTGAATAAGCTTTCGCAGAACGTTCGGACAGAAAAGATTCGATATGGCTTCGAGTCCAAGCATTCGGCAAAGAAAGCGCCTGCCGACGCAATGCTTGCAACTTTCTTCCTTAAAGACGATGTGAACGATGCAGAAGATGTAAAAGATGGGGCGATTGTGGATGAACCATCGGATAAAGTGGGTGTTGACCAGGAAAATGGGACGCTAAGTCGGTCACGAACCGTTGTAGAAGATGTGTCATCGGGCAGAGGAGGCTCGAGTGAGGGCTCGATTCCCTCATCAAGCTTTAAAATTCGGATGAGTGAGGATTCAAGGCATCATAATATTGATTCTTACTTCAAAGAGAAAATCGTCGACCGAGGCTGGTTCTGGGAAAGCAGGAGGCTCGGTCGCTACCGGCACGAAGCTTGGCGAAGTCGAGCTTGAAGCGAAGGAGGGGATCGTGTCATGGAAATATCCTTCGGGGCCACGCTGAGACGGTAATAACATAGCGATCGCTTCTGATAAGGAGGTCGATGGCTTGAACAAGAAGGACCCAAGGCTCTGCAAATAGCTGACTCACTATCGACGGAATTGGTGGCATTTTCGGTGGCATTTCCAGCGCCAGCAACAACATTTCCGGAGTCCTGGTGGTTTGGCGTTGTTACAGCGGACGTAATAGAGGTCTGGGCCGAGCCTTCGTCCTCCGGAGGAACCAATGTAGGAACGCTCATGTCTCTAGATAGAAGAGATCGAAGGTGGAAGATGATTTGGAAATGGAACTAGGTGCGCGCTAGGCCTGTCAGCATTGTGACAAAACCATCACCGTTGGGAGCCGCAGCGGAGGAAAAAAAGAGCAAGGTATCAACCTACTGCAAATTATCTGAGACCTTAAGTTGTGTGACGTTGAAGCCGTCCGTCGCCGAGGTGTCCGATCCCGTCAAAATTATTTATCAGGAATGGTGGGGGAGATCAGCAATGTCTACGAAGCAGAGGCGAAGACGTGCGGCAAAGGTGGGGGTATTAGGGAAATGGCCACGTGGATGCAGGCAGGGAAGAAGCTCTTCATTTGCTTGTGAAGGTTGGACTTAATCCCATTGCGGAATATTACTGAATGCACCGAACAAGGTACAGATGGGCGGCGGAGCAGATGCATACCCACTGAGGCTCGGCAACGTATGTTGCAAACCTTCACCCCCACGTGACCTATTTTTCGCCAGAATTATGGCGAGTGTCTTGAGGTTTCAACACACAGCTCAAACTCCATCCGATCTCTTATCATTTCCATTAGTAAATAGCTATGGTCCCTGGCCATCTAGGAAGCTGATTATTTTGTAAATTACTTCATGGATTTGCATCAATCGGCCATTATCATTGGGCCTTTGCCATATCCCCACTGTTCCCCGCGTTCTTCTGTGCCCATTTGCTAGTACTAGTTCCCTAGCCTTGTCGCCATTTCTTGGTGTATGGCTGCTGAGAGAATCCAGAGGATCCTGGAGCCTTTATGCACTCAACTGCGGCTCCAGTTGTGCAAGGGTGGTCTTTGGGTTCCTTGCCCATCCCGCATCATCTGTCAACTGAACGGCCTTAAATTCCTCAATCCATGCTATAATAATATCAACACTCTTTCCAACCTCCTGTGTGGGTTGTGAATGCATTCCGGGCAGGAAGAGCGCCCACTTGATGACTTCGGCAACTTCCGCTTCCATTCAATCTCCCAAATCTTTGAAGCAAAAATTCTCTTTCATCTAATAGTCTCAAGCCCCTGCGCCTGAATTAAAAGTTTATTCTGTCACCCTTACCTAGGTATTGTTGGGTGTCGATTTCCAAATTAACTCCATCTTTAGTGTTTTTTCAACTGATTCTCACCCATATCTCGACAATGAAGCGCATTTGAGAAAAAGCAAACCTAAGGTGCACTAATATAGGTCACTACAAACAACATCCTATGTTTATTTGCATACTATCTTCATTGTGTGCAGAGGAAAACGTCCCGCCATTTTTGGGATAGCCAGCACAGCCACAAAACTGTGGGCGGTCACAACCTTGGTTGCCGACCCTCATACCCACACCATGACTTCTCAACGGTTCATGAGGACGCCCGAGATCATGTAGTTTCCGAGTGCAATCGAGCAAGACATGTATCGGACGGCCATTGGCAAGAGGTTCCCAAATCGAGCATCCCCAGTTGAAGGCAATTGAAGCCACAGCCATTCGTATCGGGGAGGTCCGTCGGCCCTGGACCCAAATAACACCCAACAACTAACCGCAATGGAGGATTTGTTGTGCGCACTGAGCACGACATACCGTTGTTCATGTTCTACTTTTTCGTTTCAGTATCGTCCGTCATGTTGTACAGCGTCATGTAAGCCTGAGGCATGTCGTAGCTTAGATGCCGCTCTTCCTCCTGTCTGGGGCCGCCCTCCCGTTCGAAGCAGTTGCGTTGCGATTTGATTCTATATCGTGCTCCCCCTTCTCAGGCGGAATCTGCCAAACAAGACGACGCAAGGGGCCACTCCATGCGCTTTCTTTTTCCAACGTTCAAGCATACGTCCATCCTAGTCATCGACTAACCGTGTGCGGAGGCGGCGTGAGATTCGAACCGATGTGGCTGTTTTCCCTTCAGGCTCTAGACGGATCACCTGCTCTCCTGACGTCTTTTCCTAGTGAAAGCGGTTGTGGTCCTTTGCATACCACGCCGATCAGCTGTACAAAACATCGGCTCTGAGTGGTTCAACCGAGTAGCATCGACATTATCAGCGCATGGCTGCAGTGTACGCGTATTTTGAGATGCTCGCTACTTCTGGTGCGCCATGACACATCCGGCCCATTGCTTCGCCGGCTCCACTCGGCGGTTACAGTGGCGTTGAGTGGCGCTACAATTTGGCTACAATGGCCCTTCTGGTCGACCTTGGTTAGCGTTTGCCAGATTAATATACACTCTCCAGGGTTGCCCTGTTGGACTGGCGACATGTACATGCTGTTCTGACCACGCCAAAGTCACTATTGGAATAGAATTATCTTACGCAGTCCTCATGTGCCGCCAAGTTGCCCTGGTTCTGCTTCATCGTGACTTTGACATGATGCTGGAAACCACGACTAAGGATGAGGAGAGTGTGGCTTGATTCGTTCACAGCCCAACATCCCTCTAGTCCATGTCGCGTCCATGTACAATCCGGCGATTCCTCATGACATGCCACACATATTACAATTTGACCCTCTCTTCCTCTACACCCCCCTTTGGTGAATGTTTGTGCAACATTAACCCAGACCCGGGGCTCAAAATATTCATACCATGAATATCCATACGCCCCCGAGGGCACACTCCCTGGCACCTTGCCACTTGGATCGATTGCGATGCGTTGCGCATGTTTGATATGTCTGATGAGATAGTTAGATTCTGCGTAGTGAATGATACGATCTTTCGTGCCGTGGATGACTAGGATGGGAATCGATAATCGTATGGAGGGGAGAAGAGGGCGAGTGTCAGTGTTGCGGACCTGAAATGACAATAACATCAAGAGAAAGCGGGTTTGCATACTGATAAGGCCTGGTGAGCTGCACGGCAATAACAAGATGAAGATGAGTCACCCTCATGCAATTGCATCTTCCGCCATCGATAACGTGGTAATTTCTTCCCGCTTGCTTGTCTTCACTATAGAAGCTCCGAAATCTCTACATGAGGCCGGTCTGCATTCGTGGGCCATCAAGTTGTTCATATAATCCATACCGGTGATCGAACACCGATACTAACACAACGCATGAAAGCGAGCAAAACGCCATTAGAAAAAATTAACAGCCTACCAGGTCTCAATTTACTGAAGCACGCTGAGAGTTTCCCAATCTTCATATCGCCCTAACATACCATTAATGAGGACAATGGGATGGACACCTCTCTTCAGGTGATCGGCTCCTAGTATCTCGTACCCTAACTGCGCTCCATTCGCAAGAGGAAAAACCTGGGGTGTCATGATGTTGACCCGCGGCAAGGCTATTCCCGGATATTCCCATGCCTCACCGAATCATGTCCCCGACAGCTGCTGTCAACAGAGCTGTCAGTGTCAAAGCTCCGAAAGCAGGCCTCGCAAATCCACCCTACATCAAGACCACGTAGTGTGACGGGTAGGTGCGAACATAGTGATATAAATGCTCGTGTCGGTATATACTCTACTGGTATGGCCTGCTCTTGAATTGGACCGTCTCGCGTGTAAAAACCGTGAATTGTGAATCATGCGCCCAAGATAAGGCCCCGAACAACATGGAAACCCTGAGAATTTACTCCTTCGCCTCCCTATCCATAATCTCTTTCGTCTTTTCTATTCTAGGCGGATGCTGTCCTTTCCCGTCTTCGGACAGGGGCAGTGATTCTGGCCCAGTATCACTACCCTCAGGGCCAACCTCCTCTCCAACCATCCTCCCAATATTCAGACGGAGATGATCCTTCATGGCAACTCTTCGCACCAGGTATTGGAAAAGCACGGTGGTACACATGGAGAGTAAGATCCAACCAATGAGTACAGCGGCATTAAGGCCCAAGTGGTTCTTGGTGTTGAAGATGAGAGTACGGGTTGCTTGACCTACGTTACTGCCCCGTGAAGGGTTTATCAGTGATAAGCTGGAGGACTGAAGAGGGGACGATGGTCATACTAGATAGGAAAACCATATCCATATTTGTAAATCCACGGCTCGAGAACAATGGGGAGAGATGCGGTGGAAACATTCGAAATGATCTAATTATTCCCATTCCCACCAATGAGAAAGATAACACCGAATCAGAGAAGAGCCACTTACGTATACCACCAAAAAATACGTGATGAATCGTTGTGTGAGCAATGTCACCATCGCTTCAGTCCCAAGTCCAAGTGCCGTCATGCTCAAATAAGTGATCGCCCAAAAACAAAAGTAGCCCCCCGCGTATGAATACCTATAATTGACGAACCAGGGAAGCGGCGGAGTAGCGGGGAAATGTTGATTCGAGGCAATCATAGACGAATGTGGGAGTTAAAGTGAGTAATGTTAAATATGATAAAACATACTTCGCTCCAAAGGGGACTTTAAACGCCAATGAAACCATCGAATAAGCAAGAGACAGAGGGATATAACATAAAGTAGGAACCGCAATTCTCAAGATAAGAAGTTCTTTGATTTTAAGGTACGGTTCGATTGCTTGACGGGCAGCGTAGCCTGCCATGGTCTGATAATGAAAACGTCAACGAGATCGGTAAAAGGAGAATAGAATGGTCACGAACGATTGTAAAGGCAAAGACAATGACTAAAATGGACCCCACGAGCGTTAGTGCCGAAGCAACAGGAGTACTGCATCAAAGCTCAAATGAAAAAAACCGGGAAATGAGGAAAGGTGGAGATGAATAACTGACCTATAAGGTCTCAAATTGACCATCGTAAACCCAACGCTCGCACTCAATGTTTGTGGAGCTCTCGCAACATTTCCCATCATTGTCCCATTCGCACCATAATTCCCAAGGAATTCTCCAACACTCACAGCCCCAAACCGAGTTATAGTGGAAATCAATAATGATTGTGTATAAGGAACGATGAAATTGGCAGAGGCAAGTTCGTTTCGAGCTTGGGTGTAATAGACTGTTATGATGGCGGAGGAATTGTATGTACTGTCGCCTGTTAGACGGGCGAGTGTTAAGTTCTGGGAAGCCAGTGGTTGTACTGTTGCATAGTTTGGTGGCGGTGACGTTAGTGTTCATGGTACATTTACACCAGGGAAAACTAAACATAAAGGGGGAAGAAAACGCACCAACAACGGCTACCCAAACTTTCTCCTCCAAAACCCCTCTCTGGATCTCTTGATTTTCCCACCGGTCACCGGTGATTGGTATACTCCATCCCAACTTAGCCTTCGTCTTCGACCTTATGTTCTCCTCAAAAGCATTCTGGAAAAAGAGGCCGATTTCTCCCTTTGTTCCGTTCGAGTAATAGTCTTTGTTTATAAACCAGGAGGAGAGCTTGTCGGAGTAGGAACGTTGGTGCGCCAAAGAGCCAAAGAAAAAGGGTCTGTGGGTCGGAATAGCGGGAAGGACAAAGATCTCAGATTTTAAACGGAGTCAAGAGAAGGGAGGGGAGCATACACCGCTATCCACATGACGAAGATGAGAAGTACGACGGTCGCCGCTATACCTTTCATGTATATTTGACGCTGCATCGCAACTTCGGGCGACCAGACTACGGCGAGATGGAAATTATGATCAAAGATTAAGCGAAATGGACGAGGCCAATGATGCAGCAGAGATGGGTAAATAAAACTATTAAATACGCGAACCAGGTGAACGAAAGCTTACATCCATGCGAGAACGGCACTAATTTTGGCTTAGAGAGCTGTCCCGGTTGAGCCTTTTCTAACTTGTGCTTCGAACCGCCAGGGACATCGCCACTGTCGCTCTTTGGAAGATCTTGGACTTGCGTACGGTTTGAATCGGACGTGCCTGGTCTTTTGGATTGGAGTGTCATCGCCTTACTATTTGTCAAGCTCTAGCTCTGCTTCTAAGCGTAGCCACTGCTGACGGTGCGAGAATGGAGGCGATGAAAGAGAGTGCTGGTGATTGCACGGTAGAAAAGCTGTCCTGGCCAAAACGCAGCCTGAATGCTCAACGAGACAAAGAAGAGCAGATGAGCAGGCTGGTGAGAAGAAGGGAGCCGAGCAATCACGGCCCCAGAGTAATAAAAACAACGACAATGATGTCAGCCATAATACAATCTAATCACTTGACACGGATTTGGATGAAGCAAGGCATGCCGAGAACCGGCATGGCCATGGCCCCAGTCTCCAGTGGCGGTTGTTCCCGGGGTTTGCGTTATCGAGTTGACAGACCGATCGCACTGGGGATTTGGTTGCATGGATGCACATTTGATGCACAAAGCCTGCATACACACTAAGCCAAGAAGATGCATCCTCGGGTTGTTGCCGAGTGGTGTACTGCGAGCAAGCCGATTAATCAAATCCGACGCATGAATCAAGAACCCCAATTTAAGGGTTTACGTAAGCGTCACCGATTCGACATTAATGGTTCGTGGCAGCTTTCTCTTCTTTCTTGTCTTCTTATACATACTTTACAGATTTTACCTTTAGGATCCAATGAGGTGGGTTGGATTCGATCCGCGGCGGTATTGTGGCGGAGTTGGCCGAATTTTGTAATTGGAGCGAATTGTGGGACCTCGCTTGTGACCAATCCAGTTCGCACTAGGCTAGGATATGGTTTGCGCTTACGAAATTTGACTCCGACCATGTCCGGTTATCAGACGATATGGGAAAGGGGTCACTCGTTTCGATCTTGCTGTTTTTTGCTATGCGATGAAGTTTGCGCGCTATCTCGAGGACACCCAGGTGCGTTGGAAAACTGCACAGAGTCGGTATTGTCGTATTGACAACTTGCTTCCCCCGCCAAGACTCCGGAATGGAAACGGGCCTATATGTGGGCGCTTTTGGCTAACAGATTGGTTGCGGGAAATCGACTACTAATATGGCTTCTCAGCGACTATCGCAAACTTAAGAGATGTGTTCGCGAAATTTCCGGTGTCCAGCTGGAGCGCTCAAGGTCTGGCCCATCTTCACGAACCTCGGTAAGATCAGGACCGACGGCTCCAGGGGTAGGACCAGACGGCGTAGTGGTATCTAGTGCGCGAACGCCAAGGGGTTCTCCGTTGACGTTCCGGGGCGCCAATCCACTGCCTCCCGCCTCTGAACACTCCTTCACCCCGTCTAGAGCAGGCAGAGAAGCGGATCGGTTGAGCGACAACAGACTCCCCTTCCCAACGTATGGCTCGCACGGGCACTCGCCACCTTTGACGAGAATGTCTTCTGCGCGGGAACCAGAGCCTACGTCTCCTATGACGGAGCTACCACCGGCTTTGCAGGACCCTGCAGATGGGAGAGTACCCACTTCATCTGGGCAGGACTGGCAGACAGACCCACGTAACACGTCTAGGCGCCGTCTGAGTCTGAGTGCACAGATAAGTACCTACTTTCGGATATCCCCTGCAAACCCTCGTCATCGAGCCTCTACTACTACAGGTTAGACCATGTTCTCATTCTATATTTTGGCGCTGAATCATTATTACTCACTCGCATATAAAGGCACATCCGTACAGAGGACTTACAGTCTAAACGAAATATATCACACTTTGCCGCCCCCAGAGCTACGTTTTTTCGATATTCTGGACAAAGAGTTGGATAAAGTCGAAAAATTCTACCTTGAAAAGTTAGAGGAACTCGTCATATTCTCGTCCTTGCTGAATGAGCAACTGCGCGAACTCGAGGCTCATCGTAAAGTTTATCACGTGTGTAAAGGCTTGCAGATTCTCTGTCGTTCTTAAGTTGACGATAGAGGTAGGAGGTACAGGACAATTCCGCTGCAGCCTCCCGACATTGGGGTCTTGTTGGAGATGCGTTGCATATTATCACCACTTCACAGGGTAGGACACGGGCCGAGGGACCCTCGGATGAGTTTTCTAGTACCCAAGAGCAAATCAGCGGAGCTCCACCCCCTCGTGATCCTGATCTGTATCATCAGAATAAGAAGAAACTCAAGAAAGCTACTCGCGAACATTACCGGTATGTTCTTATTCCAATTGTCAGATTTCCGAACCTATTACGTTCATACAGTGGAATCGAACTATTGAATGATTATCGGGTGCGCAAGGTCTGGAGCTAACTTCATCCTGTGTGTTAACATCCGTGTAGATTCTCAATTTAACTGGGTTCCGGAAAGCGTTGAAGAAGTTCCAGAAAGTGACCCGTATTCCCGCACAGCAGCCCTACATGACTGAGAAAGTGATTACCTTCCGTCTTCCCTAGTTTGATGCCCGTTCATTGGTGCGGTGATAGGTTGACAACTGCGTATTTGCATCGGAGACGAAGATGCTTGAAATGATCTCCAACATCGAATCTTTATATGCTTTGCATTTCAGTAAGTGATGAATGCTTTACCGCGCACTCCAGAAACTCAATTCCCCGTCAGCTGATGGTGATAAGAAAGTTGCACGAGAGAGACTTCGAGACACGATGCAGGGAAACCCCCAACACACTCGATCCTTCCGGTCCGGATTATACACCGGACTGGGCATTGCTGCGCTTTCTCGCGTGATATTCCTAAGTACTATACGGTATAATCACATTGCTGACTTCAACTGACTCGGTCGTAGGCTTCCAAGAGGAGACTCGGGAAGCAATCCCTGCTTGGGCTGCGCTCTTACAGGTTTATGGTGGATTCCTGCTACCGGTCGTTCTAGCATTACTTATTGGAGCCAACATGCTTGTGTGGAAACGACATCGGATCAACTACGGTTTCATCTTCGGTATGCTCACCACAACACTTATCCTACCCATATTTTGACACACTGTTATGTTGTTGCCAATTCACCGTAGAGCTTGATGTCCGGACAATGATCGATCCTCGTCAATACGTCGAGATACCCTCATTCGCATTCCTTACGTTATCCTACTGTGCGCTACTCTCGTTCAGTCGTGTTGGCAACATTGCTGCAACTACCTGGCCATTAGGTACTCCCCGTTTCTATCCGCTTAATATTCGCCATTTGCTCATACTTGCGCGCGATAGTCTGGCTTGGATTCACGATTTGTTTTGTTCTGAACCCGTTGCCTATGTTCGCAAGATCATCAAGGTATTGGTTTTTGAAGAAATTCTTGACATTGTTCGTCTCTGGTCTCGTCCCTGTCGAGGTAGGCATCCTCTTGTTGGGAATTAGCCTACAGACATGCTGAATGTAATGGGGTGTCCATCTTCTAAGTTTTCAGGCAAGCAGAAACGTCACTACTCCCAATGCTAATCAGCTCTGATCCATACTTTCGCAGACTTCTGGCTCGGTGACCAATTCTGCAGTCTTACATTCTCCCTTGCTTCCCTCTGGACCCTTGCATGTTCAGTCCACAATGACTGGGCTCCCGATAGCTATGAAAAATGCGGACTTGCGCATCATTGGCAGACGCCGTTTGTTTTGAGCTGCATGCCGTCGTTGATACGTTTTGTTCAATGCCTAAAACGTTATTCCGACAGCGGACTTCGCATGCACATGATCAATGTCAGTCTGACTCCATCGTAGCAGTGCCTGGTCTTCTAATGTGAGTACCCTCAGGGCGGAAAATATCTATCGAGTGTGATGTACTATGTTTTCTACTACCTGTGGAGGCACAACGGCGCAAAAATCGGAGACACTGCCTTCATTCTGCTTTGCCTTAGTGGATCAGTCATGTCACTCTACACATCGGCATGGGTACAGTTTATCGCTGGTTTTACATTTCGTCAAGCTCTCTGATCTGAATGTCACGTTCCCTAGGACCTGCTTGTAGATTGGTCCTTACTTGATCCGATGGCGGAGTACAGGTTCCTCCGCACCGAGCTCTTATACAGGGACTATATTCCGGTGCGCCACCAGGCCCCGCTATGGTAACTTGCTCACGTTTCGTCGGACAGCGTTATTATTTTGCAATCGTGAGCACTAAGGCAGTATCATTACTGGATATGTCCTGATGGTAGTTGCTAGGTATCCAACGTGCTTATTCGTTTTATTTGGTTCTCTTACTTTCTGGTGCCTTCGGGGCTGAACATCACGCCGAGAACGTTCATTGCCGCGTTTCTCGAAATCCTTCGCAGGGCCCACTGGAATATCTGTGCGTCCCTGGTGCCCCATCTGTCTGAATTTGTAAACTTGACATTTTGACACATGAAGACCGTCTGGAAAACGAACAGCTGGGTAACATGGACCAGTACCGGGCAACGCGGGAGATTCCACTGCCGTACACCTTCCAAGATGAAGGCGAGGACGACAATCGAGCCTCGACTGGTTTGAAAAAGGCCTTCTCGGGACGCCTACGGGACTTCAATCTCCCATCTGTGCGTTTACCGCAGATGAATACAGGGCACATCCACGAGGTTCCATAAGACAAGCTTGTGTGAACTAACTCTTCGCTTTGCGGACGTTGCGTGTGTAGATTGGGCATTTGTGTTAAGTGACCGAAGCATGCAACTAGTCATCACAAGCCGTGCCGTGACCACTCACCCAAATATCATGTGTAACCACAAGAGCTTTATGACGGCGTCTACTCTCTCTCTCTGCAGACCCACATGTTCCTCTGAAACTGTTCGTATGCGCTATAAAAATACTCTTTGTAAATACAGATTCTTAAAACGTCTGAGATATTAGGGACTTAGATTTGACCCGATTTCCAGCCGTTCTGGATAATCACAAGACCCGCCTGAACAACAAATGTTTTATACTATACTGAGTGTAACACGCTACTTTACAACCGCTATCCTGATATTTCTGACTTTCCATTGTCTTGCTTTGTTTGATTTAATATAATATAATTTCGATGCTATCTGTTCTGCGCGGCTGGGCCCACCCGAACAGGGCATTTTCAACAGGGGGGCCCCTACCACCACACGCTATGATGTAAGCTGTGATCAATGGTTGAGCTTGTAAGGAATTTGCTCCCAGGTTCTTTTCGCTGCTTCGCAATTCTTAGATATGTTGTGTATTACCTAATTTTCGATAGTGACACCCTCTGATTGTACTTCGGAGACACCAAAGGCGAAGCTGAAACTTTGTGGATCTCTGCAATTATCATCTCAATCTTGGCGGAGGTCATGAACGGAACAACTGAATCATAATTTATCTACCTGGTCCTTCACAAACTGGGAGTCACCCATGCTGCGTCGCCATGCCCTAGTCCGCTCTTGTATCGGTTCAGAGCTGAAGGATGTGGCGGTTCAGACTCGTACCCAGTCGGAGGAGCTCCGTATGAAGCTATTTCGCGTAAGGAACGAAAACAGCCCATAAACTAATCCTGAGGGCTCAATGGTATGGGGGAAACTCTTTTGGTGGCAGCAGATCTTCTCTCATTGAGTTCTGAAGAGGTGGGATGAGGAAGGTCTGTGGATCGATCTGAGTGAAATAGCACTTACGAGGGTTGCAATGGGTAGAGTCCAAACAAATAATACCACGAGATTCAGAGGTACAAAAAAATGACCAGGAGTAGGAACCAGTGCAATAAACGGGCGGGGTGCAGTGAATAATGGGGCACTGGTTTTCGATTCGGCTTCGACATACGGCTGGGCCATGTCTAATACCGGATCCGGTATCAATAGCAAACCCTAACCAAATGCTTGCGATTTACTGGGCTCAGGGCACCGGTATGATGGATCTTTCTTTCGATCACGTTGAAGGGATTCATAGAAGGTAAGAGGACTGATATCGTCTTCAGGAGACCTCGCATTCGGAAGATTAGGGCCACTAGGCGTCTGCATCTGCACCTGCTGATAAAATAATCTCAGTGGGCAGATCTTCGATGCGAAAGATGAAGCTTACTCTCAGAGGCCCTGTCATGTTGTGAGAAAACTAGCGACGTATAAACGCTAGACAATTACACGTTAACGGTCTAATATGACCAAGAAGTACGATTTCACCTCTGTTCACGATAGTGTAACTGGGGAGAGAAAAAACAGTCGCGACGAGGGGCTTTTAAGCCTACAACGCCGCCTATCAACAAGAAGAATAAAACAGGAATAGTGGACAATCCTAGGTGGCTGATAGGTCTGTGCGCCACTATAGTGGGACGTCGACCTTTTCTCTAATGCATGTCCCTGGTCCCTGTCGAGGTAAGGAAGAACACAGGGCGGTGGAATTTGGGCATACTGAGTGTATGGACTCCGGCGGCTTGCTCAGCCCAAGGCAGGTTGGGCCCGATGCCTCCTAGACGCAAAGTGGACACTCCATTATAGATCCGCCATCAGAGCTGTCGATCTCAGCCTCGAACACATTGACCAGGTTGAAGGGTCCTGAGTGCGACACGATATTTTGGTCACCATCACTACTGAAGCTCCCACTCTCGGAAACAATTTGCGGGCTCCATCTGAGGAAGCAACGTCAAATGAGAACTTGTTGAGTAAACAAACACATCCACTTTGACGGCATCTTTGTGATGCGCGCGTCTATCACGTCTCTATTGGTTCTTCCGGAGGAAAGCCCGGCCCAGACCTCTATTACACCTACTGCAACAATGTCAGGCCATCAGAATCCCGGGAATGTTGTTGTTGGCACCGCTATCGAAAATCCCATCGATCCCATTGATAGTGAGTGAGCTATTTGCAGTGCCTTGGGGGTATTTCGTGTTCCAACCTTCTAACTCCTTATCAGAAGCGATCTCTACTGCCGAAGGATATTCCCATGACACGATCCCCTCCTTCGCTTCGACCTTGGCTTTGCCAGGCTTTTTGCCGGCAGCCACCGAGCCTTCCGCTTTTCCAGAACCAGCCTCGGTCGATGATTTTCTCTTCGAGGTAAGAATAAATTTTACGATACCTTGAACCCTCACTCATCCGAGTTTTAAAGCTCGATGGAGGCATCGAACCGACACTCAAGCCTCCGCTGCCCGATGACATACCTTCTACAACGGCAGTATCGCCAACGCACCACACACGATATAGATCTAGCCTCAAATTCAAACCAGCCCTTCACCTCCTGAGCGGAACTTACTAAACGAGACAACGAAGAGGACGGTGCTCGGTGCAAACGGGTTTTGTTCGATGCGCTGCGCTCAAAACTAATCACTTCAGGAATGCATTTATCTTACCATTCCATTCGTTCCCCAACACACGCTTCAAGATGGACGCTAACCCATATTCATTTCCTTTTTCCTCTGCATGCTACTGCCGCTCCATGATCTTGGGACGAACAGGCTGCACCGATGAATGGACGGACGCACAACTGATGTCCTTGCACCAACATCCCCACCGCTCGATGCAACTCTCACGCCACCCCCAAGCTCCACTCCATTCAATCGTTCCTGAGCTCACCAAACCAGCTAGCTTTTGCCCTCGGCGTCGAGCATCGATCACCCCCACAATGTATGTGATTGTCGACTCCACCGACACACCACTGTGATGAGACCCACTGCATGCTGCTCCAAACCCGTGGTCACTTGAGTCATATTTTTCCTCACCAAATATTACTCTAAGATCACGTAGATTTGATGACCGGCTAGCGAAGGCATCTGTTGGTTTAGATCATTAGACCGTTGCATCACCAGATAGGCTTTAGGTGCGTTACCATAGGTACCCTAGGCAGTTCCGCATGTGCACTCTATCAAATGCATATCCAAGAGCGTACAAGGAAGAGATCTGTGCACTCGCAGCCGATCGTCAATATCGATTAATACTTGGTGAGGAGATTCATTTCGCAGCCGTTCTGCAGGGTCCGCAGGAACCGAATAATCAGAAAATGAGACATCGTGAACTCGACCGACGTTGCGCGGAAATGATGATGTCAGTATATTACGTACATATGCCAAGAATTCTCGCTAGTCGGTTCAGTGGCGTAATAGCTAATAATTTAGTATTGACGTAAGCTCCATCGAGTAAGTCCCATAATGAACATTGTCTGCCACGGGCATAAGTCCATCTAAATTGATGAACGCAATCATCCCTGCTTCTCCCCCGATGCTAACGTGTTCGGCAATGGGAGAACAGGGCTTAAAGTCCAACAAACACGTACGCTTGCATGATGCGGAGAGAGATAAAGCTGGGTTATGCTGAAATTGGGTCGGATAGGTCTTCCCAAATCGAGTTAGCCGAGGTTTCTCAGCTACAACTGAACCGCTCATTCCTAGAATGCATTGGAAGCGCCACGCGAGAAAAGGACTAGTCGTGCGCAGAGCCATGCCACGACATACCGTCGTAACCTTCACTTTTTCGTTTTAGTGTTGTTCGTTCTACTACTTAGTCCATGCACCCCCTTTGGTAAACATATGCCTGAAGCCAGTTCTAGTTGGAAACAAGTCCGGATAGTCGGAGACTGGCCATCGTTTCCGAGCTATGCTTTCGGAGTCAGTGCGCGCATGAACGGTCAGCCTGTTCAGCTTGGACAAATTTCCTTCTGCTTAAAAATGAGCCGAAAATAAGGAGCCCAGTTATATATGAGTGGCACTGAAATACTAGAAGGAACATACGTATCTTGGCCTTTTGCCCCTTCGTTTCTCGTCCTCGTAAGTGCGATCTAATCAAGCGCAAGAAGGAAGTCAAATTTGGTGGTTGCTGCTGCTCCAAGCCCATGGGAACCTCCATCAAACTTAACTGGCCTGCCGAAGAATTTGCAGACTTTACTATACCGTGGGCACTAGACAAGGTTTAGCCTGCATAGTGCTGAGGCAATTTGATACGCATACACCACTAGAGACGAGCCGGCCCATATCGCTGAACGGACACAATCCTGGCATCAGCAGCACGACGACTGTTGAATAAACTTTCGCAAAACGTTCGCACAGACAAAATTCGATATGGCCTCGAGTCCCAGCATTCGGCGAAGAAAGCGCCTGCTGATGCAATGCTTACGACTTTCTTCCTTAAGGACGATGTAAAAGACGTAGAAGATGCAACAGATGGGGCAATTGTGGAGGGCGTTCGGGAAAATGGGTACGGATATAGCTCAAGGATGTCTACCGTTGGACGGTGGCCAAGGCATAGGCACAATTATAGATTGCGGGTGCGATATTGAGGAGGAAGGGGAAAGGATAGTTGTACAATCGATTGATTGGGTGATTGAGTGTTTGTCGCTGCAGGCGGAGAGACGGAGGGAAAGCACGGACTATCACGGATTACGGTAAGTGCACGCCAGGCCAGATAATGTTCTCGAATTTAGTGCGTTGCTGAACGCTACTCTTCGGCCATTCGCGTGGGCGCAATCCAGAGATAAAGATGAGAATCACAGCCAATGCCATCTCTGCCTGTACCGCACACACTGTGGTTCAAGAAGAAAGCACATGGAGAGTTGCGTCGTCTTGTTTGGCGAATTCCGCCTGAGAAGGGGAAGTATGATATAGATGTTAGGTCAGAGTCAGATCGAACGTCATCGGGCTGTGGATACGCAACAGGAGGTTGAGCGACATCCAAGCGACCACATGTGGTTACATGATGGTGCACTGTGGGCCAGAGTAGGGGACGGATACTGAAACGGAGAAGTAGAGGGCGGTGAAGATGAACAGTTCCTGCAGCGAAGTGCAACCACTACTTATCAACCGGGTGACCGTAAACCTGGTCCCATCGTCAATCGAAATTTCCATAATAAGCGGGTACGACATACCAAGGGTTGGCCCGCCGTGTAAATGCAACACGCACTTAGCCGCTTGCATCGTTGGCAAGTTGTGAAACCGCTCCCCGGGAAAATACTTGGCGACCTTTTCGACAAAGCCGTTCGTAGTGTTCATCATGTAGCTGAAAAAAGATTCTGGGAGCAGGCTGACGTCTTCAAAGTCGATCAAGACTATTCTTTCCGACACCACAAGGAAGTTGCCGACTGTGGGATCGGCCTGAATGAAGACGGACTTCTCCATGCGGGCGGTGGCCTAAATTTAGAAGGAGATTTACTCAGCTGTCTGAAAATACGTAGCAAAGTGTAACCGTAACCCTATTCACATATCTCTCAACGGCACCGATGCTTGTGGCGGGCTGGCCCGCCCCCCAATTGGCCAATCGGCACATCGGGCGGAGCGGGGACGCGACGGAGCCAATCCAAGGCATTCGCAACCGAGCAGTAGCCAAGCGCATGCTGACTGGGGTTCGTACATTCCAACCAGGTTCCAATGGTGGGAGCATTGATGAACTCCGAAACCAGGTATGCGACACAGTCGTGGGTGAAGTAGGTGATGACCTTCGGTGCGTCTGGGTCATCTCGTTGCGTCTTGGCCTCGTAGAGGAGCGATGGATCTCCAAACTTGATAAAGTAGTCCCCCCAACGTAGGTCATGGTTAGCGGTGTCGCTTTCGAGAGCCTCGGCGCTAACTGCGACGATTGAACCACAAAATGGGTCAAGGGATTCTGTCGAAGGAGCTTGACCCATTCGTATCCAACTTCTTCGTTTCAGTATCGTCCGTCCCGCTACTCTGGCCCACAGTGCGCCATCGTGTCGTAGTTTGGATGTCGCTCTTCCTCCTGTTGCGTATCCTCAACGCGATGACGTTCGATCCGACTTTAACTTAACATCTCTATATCATACTTTGCGGAATCCGTCAAACAAGACGACGCAAGAGACCACTCTCCATGTGCATTCTTCTTCCAGCGTTCAGTATCAATGGTGCACGCGTCCTTCTCATTCTCCTGAGTCGCCGTGAACCATGAACTGCAGCGTGGGCGGCTTTGGGCAGATGGCGTTGGTTATGATTCTCATCTTTATCCCCCGATTGCGCCCACAAAGAGTAGCGTTCAGTAATGCACCAAATCCGAGAACATTATATTTATCTGATGTGTGCACTAATAGTAATCTGTGATATCTACCCTTTTCTTTTATTCGCGGTCAGACTCACAACTCGAGTACGAACTGTCACGCTACTGTGAGTGAAGGCGAAGCGGAGATGTGTACATCTATACTCCTGAATGTTTCGCACTTGGAATACTACGTGGACTCAGCGGTGCACGCAGCCTCGTCCTGCCCAATTCTCTTCCTCCAGCTCATTTCCGATCGTGTTTCCACCTGCAACGACGAACACTCAATCACCCAATCAATCGATTGTACAACTCTCCTTTTCCCTTCCTCCTCAATATCACACCCGCAATCTATAATTGTGCCTATGCCTTGGCCACCGTCCAACGGTACACATCTTTAAGCTATATCCGTACCCCTCTTCATTCTCTTCCCATCACAATCGAACCCTTTTCGTTTAGGCAGCTGCGTATGTACTCCCCCATTGGCCAACCCGATCTAGATCTAGCCTAAACCAGGCCGAGCGGAACCCACTAAACGAGACAACGAAGAGGACCATAACTCGGTGCAAACGGGTTTGGTTCGATCCCGTTGCTTGCGCTCAAAACTAATCACTTGCTAACCCATATTCATTTCTTTTTTTCCTCTGCATCCTACAGCCGCTCCATGACCTCGGGACGAACAAGCTGCACCGATGAATGGACGGACGCACAAGTGATGTCCCTGCACCCACATCCCCACCGCTCGATGCAGCTCTCACACTGGCCCATGCCACCCCCAGGCTCCATTCAATCATTCCGAAGCTCACCATACCAGCTAACTTTTGCCTTCAGCGTCGAGCGTCGATCATTGTGGGTGATCGTCGTCTCCACTGACACGGCTGCATGCTGCTCCAAACTTATGGTCATTTTTCCTCACCAAATATCGCTCTAAGATCGCGTAGATTCAATGACCGGCTAGCCAAGGCATTTGTTGGTCTAGATCATTAGACCGTTGCATCCACCAGGCAGGCTTTAGGTGCGTAACCATAGGTACTCTAGGCAGTTTCGTATGCAAATACATGTCCATGAGCGTGCAAGGAAGAGGTCTGTGCCCTCACAGCCGATCGTCAATATCGATTAGCACTCGGTGAGGGGGTGCTTCAAGGTCGCTTCGCGGCCGTTCTGCAGGGTACGCAGGAATTGAATAATCAGAGAATGAGATTATCGTGAACTCGACGTTGGGACGACACACGGAAACGATCGATGATGTTAGTGAGTTGACTAATTATGTACATATGCCAAGAATTTTCGCTAGTTGGTTCAAGTGGCGTAATAATTAGCTAAAAAATAATTTAGTATTGGCAGCTGAGCTCTACGCAATATCTCAGACGTTTTAAGAATTCCTATTTACAAGGAGTATCTTCATAGCGCACATGAACTGGTAGTAGATGCAGTTACAAAGCTCGTGGTTACACAGGATAGTCGAGTGGTCATGGCACGGCTTGTGATGACCAGTTGCATGCTTCGGTCAACCAACACATATGCCCAATCTGCACGCGCAACGTCCGCGAAGGGAAGAGTTGATACAAACTCGTCTTACGGAACCTCATGGATGTGCTTTGTATTCATTTGCGGTAAACGCACAGATGGGAGTTTGAAGTCCCATAGGCGTCCTGAGAAGGCCTTTTCAAGCCAGATGAAGCTTGATTGTCGTCCTCGCCTTCGTCTTGGAAGGTGTACAGCAGTGGGATCTCCCGCATTGCCTGGTACTGGTACACCTGAGATGGCAAGCCTTCTTCGCAAGCTTCAATTGCGAAATAAAATATGTGGAAGGCCACAAGAACAAAGTGGCAGATGCACTCTCATGGTACTGCGACTTGTCAACGGATGAGGATCTGCATTTCGATGACTACGTGTTGGCAGACATCCATCTGGACAAAAATGCAGAAGATACTATCCCTGACAGAATCGAGGAATACAAAGAACTGCTGCTAAGCAGTACCCTGAGTAAAAACTCAGAGAGAAAGAGACTCACAGCAATAGGCATGAGAAATACCCTAGAGGAAGCTCTAGGGGGGAGTGCCCAAAATCTGGAAGAAATCATAATTCCAGAAGAGAACCTTCGAAAACAATTCAAAGAGAAAGACCTCATTGAGGCAATAAAATCTGGATACTCACAAAGCCAGATCCACTGGGAAATCCTAGAGAGCCTGGGGAATTTCAAAAACTTCTCCATAAAAGATGGGCTGATAACCCGACTTGGAGAAGGAGGAATGACCCAAATAGTAGTCCCAAAAGGGAACTACGAAAGGAAGTCCATTCGAGGAATAATCCTCGAAAACATCCACGAAACACTTGGACACTTAGGATCCAAGAAAACAGTGGAAACCCTCCATCGACACTTCTGGTGGAAGTCGATGAGGAAGGATACCCACAAGTTCTGCAGGTCTTGCAGAACTTGTCAAACAACAAAGAAAAGCACCAGGAGAAATCCTGGACTGCTTCACCCACTCCCGACCCTGGAGACACCATGGTCATCAATAGCTATGGACTTCACAGGTCCATTCC